AAAACCAAAAGGACCAGCATAAACCAGCAAAGGACCAGCATAAACCAGCAAAGGACTAGGGGTCGACCGATTATCGGCGCCGATATTAAGCATTTTTATGATTATCGGTATCGGTCATTTTCAAAACCGTTTCGCCGATAAATTAACTTAATTTTGAAACGCGCTATTTGGCTCTGATGCAGCCTGTCAGAACTCACCACTCTGTGGCCTAAAGCAGTCTCCGCCCACCGCTCATCTGATTTGTTGGGAATCACGAGTCTGACCAATCAATGCGGAATTCACTCTCACTCCAAAAGCGCTTGCGAACTGGAGCTGCTTCAGTGATCACGCATCAGTTGTCTCTCAAAGGTAAGGTAGCAGCAGACGTTGCTTAAGTTGCAATAAATCCCAATCCACTAACGTTGCACTGAAGTTGCAAAACACCTCAATATTATCTATGATTTCCGCGATGCAGAAAAAGCGGACGGAATCGCGGAATCCAGTCATATAAATGGAATTTACTGTATGACGCGGAATGTCACGGAATTTGTGAAAGTTTGGATGAATTAATCAAAAGTAGGTCAGTACACTTAAATAGAGTTCCAATATGGACTATCTGTAAATATTAAGCCGCAAAATACTATTCAAATATGAATCCAGCATGTTCTGCGTGTCTCTGTGTATGTAAATGGAACAGACGAGCGGTGTTGTTTTCTACACAATACAAAGTGTGTGTCAGCTTCTGTCGTCTCACTACATGAGGACATAAATACATGAACATCTCCAGAACTGCTTCTGACTCCCTCTAAGAGTCACTTCATGAGCATTTGACAGTTCATTGGAGTAAAACTATCTTCATATCATTTACATAGACCTACAGAAACAAGTTCCTCATGGCAACCCGTCAAAATATAAGTTTGGGTTAGCTTAAAGAAATGATCAGAAATATATTACTGGGGTGCAGAATGATGTACATAATACTACTCAGGGATGAAAGTTTTCCGTCGCTACAACGGATTTCCGTCAATTGGAAAAAATGAGGGGAAAAGAAACATGTAGCACATTGTTGTTGTTCTGCCGGTGTTTTGATGATTTGTTGGTAGCATAACCTGATAGACAGCATTATTTGTCAGAACACCAGCACACCAAAAATCCTCCCCGCCTCCTCGTCCTCCGTAAAATGCGCTGCACACAAATAGTTGCGCATCTCTAAAAGCAAACACGGCGGTGTTTAATTCATGAATGAGTGCATTTTTGAACGAATCTAGTGAGTCAGTAATTCATGATTACCCATTCATAAAGACAGTCACTTGCTTCATTCCAGAATGAATCAGCCGTTTGAACGAATCAATTGAATGAATGATTCAGTGATAAAATCCGTGATTTGCCACCATCTGCTGGTGATTTCAGTTTCATTTTTAGGTATAATTGCAGTTATTTAAATCATTTAATATTTCTGCATTCAAAATTTTATTTAAAACATTAATCTCCACATGAATTTATGAATGTAATTGCACTCATGCCACCTCTGAGCCTCATTGAATGTCTGAAAATGTACCTACAAGCCACTTTTGTGTTCTTTTTGTGCCACCTGTGTAGTACAAATTAATTTTTCATTAATACTAATTTCATGATTGGTAATTATTTGTCTTATTCTACGGTTTTAAATAGAAATTTTAAAAAGCTTATAAACATAATTTTTTGAATTTGACAGACCAAAATGATGCCATTGCAAAGATAAAAAGAAAATGCCCCTGTAAATCACTTCACCTCGTATTAGGAAGGCTAATTTTTGATTCTTGATCAGAAGGTGCTCCTTCATTTTTTTTAATTAGAAGGACAAGTGCTCTTGATTACAAGAAGAAAAACACTGCTCTTAA